TAACCCCAACGTATGATGCTACATCTATTACACCAATATCCACAGCTGAAGAACTATCAACAACAACTATTACAGACACAATGGCTACAGAATCTGATACAGAAACCACAACTACAGCTCAATCCTCACCATTTGCAGGAACAGGAACAACAACCACTTTTGATGCCACGTCAACATCAATGATTTCCTCTGCTGTGATGTCAAATTCAAGAAGTAATATAGAAACATCTGATACATCAACCACAACTGCAGACCAAACCGCAACAGCTGTTGGGACAACAAGTTTTGATGCCACATCCACCTCACTAGTAATCTCAACTGTTGAGTCAACCTCTACAAATAATGAAGAAACAGTTACTTTAGCACCTGATACAGAAACCACAGCTGCAGCTCAAACCATAACGACTGCTGGGGCAACAGCAAATATATATGATGGCACATCCAGCTCAACTGTATCGTCAAATGTAGAATTGACCTCAACAACTGAGACAGACTCAGTAACTTCAGCACCTGATACAGAAACAACTACAGCTCAATCCACAACAACTTCTGGGGCAGCAACAGTAACTTTTGTCTTTACATCAACTTCTTTGGTATCCTCATCTATGGAATCAACCTCAAAAAGTATAAGAGAAACAATGACTACAGCACTTGGTTTATCGACAAGGGATATGCCTGAAAACATAACAGCTGCTGAAGGAACAATATCTTCTGATGCCACTTCCACCTCAACCAAAATCTCAACTGTTGAGTCAACCCTTACAAGTAATGCAGAAACAATGACTTTGACACCTGATACAGCAATAACATCTTCAGCCCAATCCACAACAGATGCTGGGGCAGTAACAGAAACAAATTTTGATGCCACATACACTTCATTGGCATCCTCAACTGTGGAGACAATTTCAACAAGTTTTGCAGAAACAAAGACTACAGCACCTGAAAATGCAACCGCAGCTGTCTCTGAAACTACACCAACTGCTGAAGAAATAACCCCAACGTATGATGCTACATCCATTACACCAATATTCACAGCTTTAGAATTATCATCAACAACTATTGCAGATACAATGGCTACAGAACCTGATAGAGAAACCAAAACTAAAGCTCAATCCTCACCATTTGCTGGAAAAACATCAACTTTTGATGCCACATCTACATCAGTGTTGTCCTCTACTGTGGTGTCAAATTCAAGAAGTAATATAGAAACATCTGATATATCAACCACATCTGTGGATCAAACCGCAACAGCTGTTGGGACAACAAGTTTTGATGCCACATCCACCTCACTAGTAATCTCAACTGATGAGTCAACCTCTTCAATTACTGAAGAAACAGTTACTTTAGCACCTGATGCATCAACCACAGCTGCAGCTCAAACCCCAACAACGGCTGGGTCTACAGCAAAAACCTATAATGGCACATCCAGCTCAACTGTATCCTCAAATGTTGAATCAACCTCAACAGATACAGTCACAGTAACTGTAGCAACTAATACAGAAGAAACTACAGCTCAATCCACAATAACTGCTGGAGCAGCAACAATAACATTTGATTCCACATCCACCTCATTAGTATCCTCAACTTTGGAGACAACATCAAGTAATACAGAAACTGTTTTTTTGGCACCTGACACAGCAAACACAACTATAGCTCAATTAACAACAGCTGCTGGGTCAGTAACAAAAACAGCTACTGCTACCACATCCACCTCATGGGTGTCCTCAACTGTGGAGTCAACTTCTGCAAATACTTCAGAAACAATGACTACAGCACCTGATACAGCAACTGGAACTGCGTCCGAATCCAAAACAGCCACTGGGGTAACAACGACATTTTATGATGTCACATCCACCTCACCAGTTTTCTCAACTTTAGGATCAAAATCAAGAATTAATGCAGACACAATGTCTTTAGGACCTCATACAAAAACCACCACTACAACTCAATCCTCAACAGCTTCTGAAGCAGCAACAGTAACCATCTTTGATGTCAATTCCACATCAATGCTATCCTCAACTGTGGTGTCAAATTCAGCAAGTTATATAGAAACAATTGATACAACAACCACAACTGCAGATCAATCCACAACAGCTGCTGGGACAACACGTTTTGATGCCACATCCACCTCAGCAGTATTTACAACTGTTGAGTCAACCCTTACAAGTAATAGAGAAACAATGACTTTAATACCTGATGCAGCTATAACATCTACAGCTCAATCTACAACAGATGCTGGGGCATCAACGGCAACAACTTTTGATGCCGTATACCCTTCATTGGCATCCTCAACTGTAGAGACAACTACATCTAGTAATGGAGTACCAAGGACTACACCAAATGAAAATGTAACCACAACTGCATCTGAAACTACACCAGCTGCTGGAGAAATAATGCCAACATATGATGCTACATCCATTACACCAATATCCAAAGCAGTAGAATCATCATCAACAACTATTGCAGACACAATGGCTACAGAATCTGATACAGAAACCACAACTACAGCTCAATCCTCACCATTTGCAGGAACAGGAACAACAACAACCACTTTTGATGCCACATCAACATCAATGTTATCCTCTACTGCGGTGTCAAATTCAACAAGTAATATTGAAACATCTGATACATCAACCACAACTGCAGACCAAACCGCAACAGCTGTTGGGACAACAAGTTTTGATGCCACATCCACCTCACTAGTTTTCTCAACTGTTGGGTCAACCTCTACACATAGTGAAGAAAACTTTACTTTAGCACCTGATACAGAAACCACAGCTGCAGCTCAAACCATAACGACTGCTGGGGCAACAGCAAATATATATGATGGCACATCCAGCTCAACTGTATCCTCAAATGTAAAATTGACCTCAACAACTGAGACAGACTCAGTACAATCTTCACCTGATACAGAAACAACTACAGCTCAATCCACAACAACTTCTGGGGCAGCAACAATAAATTTTGACTTCACTTCCACCTCATCAGTATCATCAACTATGGAGTCAACCTCAACAAGTACAGCAGAAACAATGACTACAGCACTTGATTTAGTAACAAAAGCTATGCCTAAAACCATAACAGCTGCTGAGGCAACAATATCTTCTGATGCCACGTCCACCTCACCCATATTCTCAACTGTTGAGTCAACCCTTACAAGTAATGCAGAAACAATGACTTTGACACCTGATACAGCAATACCATCTTCAGCTCAATCCACATCAGATGCTGGGGCAGTAACAGAAACAAATTTTGATGCCACATACACTTCATTGGCATCCTCAACAGTGGAGACAACTTCAACAAGTTTTGCAGAAACAAAAACTACAGCACCTGATGATGCAACCACAACTGCATCTGAAACTACACCAGCTGCTGAAGAACTAACCCCAACGTATGATGCTACATCCATTACACCAATATCCACAGCTGAAGAACTAGCATCAACTACTATTGCAGACACAATGTCTACAGAACCTCATAGAGAAACCACAACTACAGCTCAATCTCCACCATTTGCAGGAACAGGAACAACATACCTTTGATGCCACATCAACAACAATCTTATCCTCTACTGTGATGTCAAATTCAAGAAGTAATATAGAAACATCTGATACATCAACCACAACAGCAGATCAAATCACAACAGCTGCTTGGACAACAAGTTTTGATGCCACATCCACCTCACCTGTATTCTCAACTGTTGAGTCAACCTCTACACATATTGAAGAAAACGTTACTTTATCACCTGATACATCAACCACAGATGCAGCTCAAACCACAACAACGGCTGGGTCAACAACAAAAACCTATGATGGCACAATTGTATCCTCAAATGCTGAATCAACATCAACAGATCCAGTCACAGTAACTGCAGTAACTTATACAGAAAAAAACACAGCTCAATCCATAACAACTGCTGGATCAGCAACAGTAACTTTTGATTCCAGATCCACCTCATTAGTATCCTCAACTGTGGAGTCAACCTCAACAAATAATAGAGAAACAACGACTACAGCACTTGATTTAGCAACAAGAGCAATGCCTGAACTCATAACAGCTGCTGGGGCAACCACATCTTTTAATGCCACTTCTTCCTCACCCATTTTCTCATCTGTTCAGCCAGTCCTTACAAGTGATGTAAAAACAATGACTTTGGCACCTGATACATCAACAACAACTACAGCTCAATTCACAACAGCTGCCAGGGCATCAAAAGCAACAACCTTTGGTGCCACATACACATCATTAGTATCCTCAACTGTGGAGACAACTTCAACAAGTAATACAGAAACTGTTTTTTTGGCACCAGACACAACTATAGCTCAATTAACAACAGCTGCTGGGTCAGTAACAAAAACAGCTTCTGCTACCACATCCACCTCATGGGTGTCCTCAACTGTGGAGTCAACTTCAGCAAATACCTCAGAAACAATGACTACAGCACCTGATACAGCAACTGGAACTGTGTCCGAATCCACAACAGCCACTGGGGTAACAACAACATCTTATGATGTCACATCCACCTCACCAGTTTTCTCAACTTTAGGATCTCAATCAAAAATAAATGCAGACACAATGTCTTTAGGACCTGATACACAAACCACAACTACAACTCAATCCTCAACATCTTCTGGAGCAGCAGCAGTAACAACCTTTGATGTCAATTCCACATCAATGTTATCCTCTACTGTGGTGTCAAATTCAACAAGTACGATAGAAACATCTGATACAACAACCACAGCTGCAGATCAAACCACAACAGCTGCTGGGACAACACGTTTTGATGCCACATCCACCTCAGCAAAATTCACAACTGTTAAGTCAAACTCTACAAGTACTGTGGAAACTGTTTCTTTAACACCTAATAACACCACAGCTGCAGCTCAAACCACAGCAACTGTTGGGGCAACACCAAAAACCTTTGATGGTACATCCACCTCATCACTTTCCTCAATTGTAGAATTGACCTCAACAACTGAGACAGACACTGTAACTACAGCACCTGATACAGAAACAACTACAGCCCATGCCACAACAACTTCTGGGGCAGCAACAATAAATTTTGACTTCACTTCCACCTCATCGGTATCATCAACTATGGAGTCAACCTCAACAAGTACAGCAGAAACAATGACTACAACACTTGATTTAGCAACAAGAGCTATGCCTGAAACCATAACAGCTGCTGAGACAACAATGCCTTCTGATGCCACGTCCACCTCATCTGTATCTTCATCTGTGGGGTCAACCTCAACAAGTAATTCAGAAACAATGACTTCTGCTTATGCCTTTCCAACCACAAGTAACAAAACAGCTGCTGGAGTAGCATTAACCTATAATACCCTATCCACCTCATCAGTGTCCTCAATTGTGGATTCAACTTCAATAACTAATGCAGACACAACAACTACAGCACTTGATACAACAAATACAACTATGACTGAAACCACAACAACAGCGGAGGCAACAACATTACGTAATGGGGATGTTAGCATAGCAGTTGCTCCAGTAACAACTGCTGATGCAACATCACAAAGTTTAAATGCACCAACCACAACTTTTCCTGAAACAAAGTTTGATGCAACCACAAAAAATTTAGAGGCAGCAGCCACTTCTCCAAAATTCTCAAATATGGAATGGACTTCAGCAACTTATCCAGTCAACACAACTATGGTTGAAACAATACTAGACCTTTCAAAAACAACCACCAGTGCAACAACAACTATTTTTGATGCACAAACCACCTCTTTACCACTACCAACTGTTGCACAAACATTAGCTCATGTAACAACCACAACTCTGCCGGCCAACACAGCTTTTGCTGCAACCACAACAAATACGGACATTTCAACTTTTCCAAAAATCTCAACTGCTGCACCAAAAACAACATCTGATGAAGCATCCACAACTACAATTGAGCCTTTTTTAACTAATCATACAACACTGGCACATTTGGCAGCCACACCCACCTATACAGCATCCTCAACTTCAGAAACAACATCTACAATTGATGCACCAACCACCACTATGTCTGAACCAGTAACAAATATTAGTGTAACAGCAGGTTTGGATACCACAACAACATTTTCAGCACCCTCAGGTATAGCATCAAAGTTAACAGATGCTGCAACTGTTCTTGTGAACACAACAACAACTTTAGATGCCGCAGCTACTATTTCACCATCCTCAAATGCAACTGAAATGTCAGCAACTCATCCTGCAACCATAGCAATACCAGTAAACACAACTAATGATGATACATCAACAGCTTTGGATGATACAACCACTCAAATATCCTCAACAGAAGCACCAATTTCAACTACAGATGAAGCAACCACAGTTACAACTGAAACCACAACTTATATTGGTGGAACAACAATAACTTTGAATGCCACAATTAATCCATCTGTATTTTCGACAACCATTAGTGCAACAACTTTGGCTGAAGAAAGCAACCTTCCATCAGCTTTAAATGAAACAGAGATGTCGACAACTAATGCATCAATTACAACTGTGCCTGAAACTACAACAAACCTTCAAACAACAACTTCAGATAAAGGATTATCCAATTTTGCTGTAACAACAAGACCTGAAACATCCTCATTTCCAACAACTAATTCTAAAATCACTACAGAAATTGGTTTCACAACAACACCTTCAACCACACTTAAATCTTCATCAACGATTGCTCCACAATCAACAACAGATGTGGCAACAACTTCAGTCCAACCAACAACATCTGGTCTTAAATTAAATACAAATTCTCCAACCTCCTCACCATTAACACCAATGTTGGCAACTGAATCAGCAACCACAACTATGTCTGAAACCACATCAGCTATTAGTGTGGCAACCGAAACTTTGGATACTAACAATACATTGGCTACAAATCCACCAACAACTACTATTTTGGCTGAAACCATTTTACCTCCTACAACTACTGGTGAGATATGTGCAATTACTACTGCTATTAAAATGACCACTATAGTCATTCTCATTGTTTGTCTATTTTAAATATCATAAAACATATGTCACGTCTGCCATGTTTACTCTAAAATTTAAAACGTTTCTGATGCAGTGATTTGTGCTATAGGCTTTTTTCATTCAAAAATGGAAGTTCTGTCATCACATTTTACTAATTACAAACGTGGTTGAGTTTCTTTCTTTTGTTGAAGGAAGATTCATTGGAGAATGATTTTGACTTCCATAGTATTTTTAGTCCCTACAATGGATGGTAAAGGAATAGTTCACCCAAAACTGAAAATTCTGTCATCAAATTTGATTGGTCTGACAATTATTCTGACACAGTAGATCGCAGAGAAATTTAAATCTACAAGAAATCCTAACACACACAACCTACTAGGTGTGTAATCGTACACAGAAATCATGGTTCGGTACTTACCTCAGGTTTTGGGGTCACGGATCAGTACAGGTTCTGTTCGGTAGAACAGGAATAAGCTCAAATCCCCAATTTTTGTTTGTTTATTTTGAACAGGCGTACTTGTTGTGTCCACCTGCTTCGAATGTTAATCTTCTCGATTAAATAGACATTATCAGTGGTTATTAACTGATAGATATGGGCCAGTAGGGGCCTTCTGTGCCTACTGGGAGGCTATATAATAGAGAAGACTCCAGATCTGTTTTTACATTACTGTGACGGATGCGTTTAGGCTTGGGGTAGGTGTAGACGTTAATAAAATACAATTTTATTTACAATTTTTATTTATTAATATTATTTAATACATTTTAAAATTATTCTCATGATTAATCAGCTGTTCTAATAGAGAAGACTCTAGATCCAGATCTGTTTTTGATGGTTGGGTTTAGGGTTGAGGTAGGGGTAGACGTTAATGAAATACAATTAATGGGAAATTTAATAAATTAAATAAAAAATACTCACTACCTTTGTCAGCAGCCGTATGCGATCTATAGCTGATAAAACATGTGGATAGATTATAACAACCTTCTGAGCTTACCAGTAGGCACAGAAGGTCCCTACTGGCCCATATCTGTCAGCTGATAACCACTAATAACACCCATTCAATCGAGTAATAACATTCGAATCGGCCGTTATGTCACAATCAGCTACAGAACTGAAAGTCTGATTGACTATTAAAAGTACAAAATAAATAGAATAATGAAAAATAAAATGTCATACTTAGGTTACTGCTTATTTTAAAGGAGCCCAATTCTCCTAAAAAAAATAAAAAACAGTAAATCTGCAAATGATTTAGCAAGCTTCAAAACTGAAATCTCTTTTAATTTCATCATGCAGTGACGCTTCAATATCTAAATGTTCTACTAATGATGTATCATTACTCTCCTTTTCTCTTTCTTCCGTTTCTCTCTTTTTTTTATACTGCAGCCACAACGACAACTCCAGTTCCAGTAACTCAAAATCCCATAGAAGCACCAACTGTGTAAGTGCAATTTTAAAGTATATAGTTTCATTTATTTCAATGATCTTACTCATCATTTTTATTTTCCTCCCTTTCAGGATTGGGACAGTGATCATTTACATCCAGCTCATATTCGTCACACTGGGCCCCATACCAAGCGAGAATACAATAATGCAGTTGGTTAACTCTATGCTGGACTCACGTTTCAGAATCAAACGAGATGTAGGAGCACAAAGCCTGAACACCCCTGTGAGCATTGTGAATGTTACTTATACAAGTGAGTTTTCCCTCCTCCGTTTAGTCACCAATGAATAGCTGTACTTATTACAATACAAGGATATCCCTATACAACATCAGCTAACATGTATTATGTGTTTTACCTGTTTAAGAAATTTCTGACAAATCATATGCCCTGAATTTTGGATTTGGAATCGCCAATGTTTCCATGTCTGAGAAAATTGAACTCAGGAATGAAACATACAAGTTAATCCAGGAGTCTGTAAATAAACTGGTGAGTTTGAGAACATTTCTTGTAAATAAATAAGCTTTTGATAAAGTTTAATTCCTGATATCAACTTTCCTGATATAACTTCATTAATTAATTTCCTTTCATGTTTGCTTCATGTTTCAGCTGAACCAAATCCTAAATAACCCCACAGCCACTCCATTTGTGTTCAAAAATGTCAATTTCACGTAAGATATAAACCTTCTTTAGAGCAGACATATGCACTGATTCCAAGGTGTTTTTGAGGTGTTTATTTATCAATGTTGATTTGTTTTTTTCTCCGCAGGGGTAATTCCACCTCTATCCAGGCAAGTGTGTACTATGTATTCTCAGAAAGTGACATCACACAACCCAACGCCTTTATTAGTGCCCTTCTTGTGGTTAACAAAGGTGTGTACTTCTGCTCATAAATTCGATTATCATTAATAGCTTTGTATATTATTGGAATCTTATTGGAATTACACCTTGTCATCAACAGATGCAGTTACCACACCTCCACCAACAACCACCACCTATTACTCCATAGTGCTGAACACTACAGTCCCAAGCAACAGCACAAATGCAGCATGGGTTGTGGCCATAATTGTACCCTGTGCAATCGTTATCATCCTCGTACCTTGCTGGATTCTACTGTGTGTAAGTTCCATAAAAATTTAAGAAGAAAGTATGCATATTATAATTTAAATGATAATGGTAAATGGTGGCTCAGTGGTTAGCACTGTAGTCTCACAGCAAGAAGGTTGCTGGTTCGAGTTACGACTGGGCCAGTTGGCATTTCTGTGTCGAGTTTGCATGTTCTCTCCATGTTGGCAAGGATTTTGCTCCTGTTTTCCCCACAGTCCAAAGATATGCGCTATAGGTGAATTGAATAAACTAAATTGGCCATAGTGAATGTGTGAAAATGAGAGTGTATAGGTGTTTTTAAGTAGTGGGTTGCGGCTGGACGAGCATCCACTGTATAAAACATCTGCTAGATAAGTTGGTGGTTTATTCCACTATGGCGACCCCTGATAAATAAAGGAACTAAGCTGAATGTAAATAAATGAATTAATAAATGGTAAAAGTGATATGACAGCTGAAAGTTATGTAGGCAACTAAGGTTATTTGCTAATCTAATATTGCTATCTCTTGATTGTCAGTGTTTGCTCTGTGGTTGCTGCACATCAATAAGACGACGATGGCGCAGAAGAAGAGGCTCATACAATCTGCAACACACAGCCCAAACCAGCTTCTTATAGACAACTGGAGAACAATTTCAAGAAGAGGAATACATCATGACAAAATTAATTACACTGATCACTTCTGTTTTTTTCTATAATGAATACGCTATCTTTTTAATTGTAAAATGCACTATTTATTTATTGTATCAATTTTGCTGTACAGACGTGCTCCTAAATTTTCATAAATGTAATTTATTTTCAGAATTGTATTACCCAGTAATTAAATGTATTTAATAAGAGTGTGAGGTTCAACCTCTGTAAATTTTAGAACCATTACTCCCTAATTAATTTATTTGACATTACTCATTTCATTTCATGGGGCTATATTGATTGTGTTTAACTTATTTACAATTAGATTAACTTTATTTTTGTGTAACTCAAAAAAGTCATTGTGTGCTTATAAATGTAAAATAATATATTTAGAAATAGATGTATATATATATATATATATAATATGTAAAATAGCAGCAATATACGCACACAGCTTGACATAATTTTTAAATTTTTTTTCTGTATAAGTGCATGTCTTAACGATCACTTCTGTTAGTAATGATCACCTCTGTAACTTTGCTAACAGGTGCTAAAGAGAAATTCAGTTAGAAAAGTCAAACTTTTTCATCTATTCATATATATTCAATTTATCTACAGTACCAAGTACCATTTATGTATAATCAAGTGACTAATGATAATCTAATGCAAACTCTAAACTCTTTCATTCATCTTTGACGATAATCTGATGCAAACTTAATAAAAATTTTCATTGTTAAACATTGATGTTTATTTTCATTGCATTTTTTTTACAATAATGAATATGTTAAAGTTGTTGTGCAGTTTAAAAAAACTCTGTTACAACCATGTCAATTTTTTTCTTTAACAAACATTAATATAATGTCGAGAATCACTATGTTGATCGTTAAAAAGAAATAAAATTGTCACCTTTTGCCTTAATGCCATTCTTAAGCCTGTTTGCTTCTATGAATTTTTGTTTAAGATAAACTAAGACAAAATACAAAGAAAGGAAAGAAATGAGAAAAAATGTTTTTGTCAAATATATAATTGGCTAATACAGAAATTAGTTTACTGACAGAGATGGAACTAAAGAAAGGCAAACAACAACACAGTCCAACAATAGGGGGAAACAGTGAGCTGTGCCGGGCAATTGTGGGTGAGCGCTGAATCAGCCTTGACTACAAGGGAGTTGCTGAGAAATAGCAGGTGGTGAAAACCCGCACCAACATTATGAAGCTGCAGGCCCCAAGTGGTGCTCGCTGCAGAGCCATTTGAGGAGAGCTGAGCTAACCGCGCTTAGATCTGCTCGCTCAGACAGCTAGACCTGCACTTCCAGACGTTCACAGTGCCACCTGCTGTTTAAAAGATCGACTAAACTGAATTCCGCTGCTTCTAAATTGTAATTTAAACAGTTTTTTTCTACTATAAAATATTACTCTATGATTGAATACATTATTATATGAAATATTAAATATACTAGATTTTGATTTAATGCATTGATTCTGTTGTATTTTTTTTCATTGCATTTGTAAATAGATTTTGTTCAGTTACTTTATATTTTCAGACAATTTTTTGTCCTTTTTTATTCATTAAGGATTTATCACTGTTTCGTATTGAGTTGAGAGAATTAATATTATCTTCATATACAATAATTTCTTCACATACAATAAATCATAGTACTCTGAGTAATTTTCTCAGAACAAACTTTTTTTTTGGGTACTTTTTTATGAGGTCCTACAAGCTGTAAACAATGCAGAGAAAAATTGTGAAAAATAATAGAGTAATAAAATAATTAGAGTAATAACTATTTTTTTACGTAGAAAATAACATCAAGTAAAATAAATGCTTTACATTCTTGTTGGGGAGATTTTTCATTTCTACAGCAAAAAAAACTGGAAACATCTGCAGTCTTTGGTGCACTTTATTAGTGTAGGCAGAGACCCCTTTTTAAAATTGTAATATCAATGTGGGGAAAAATACACACAACAAGCAAATTATTTTTGATTTCACCTTAGAGAGCTTATATTGTAAATTTTATGCAGAGTAGCTGATATTTTGATTTCCAAAAACGTATTTGTAATCATTACAGAACTTATTAATAATTGATAAACTGTTATTGTGTTACTGTTATTGTCTTTGGGAGCACTTTCAGATAGATAATACAGTAATATGTAGCACTAAAATGTTACAAATAATAATTGTGTTATATAGTATACATTTTGTTTTAACATTTTTACTTTAAAGTTTTTTTTTTTATTTTGCTAGAAAACATTGCTAGAAAATTGTTCCAGAATGGTACATTAATACATAAAGTAAGAGCAAGCTGTAAATATCATAAAATAATGCTCTTTTGACACTTATTTTAATCAAATCAAACACTGAAATAATTGTTTGTTAGTGTAATATTTTACATAACATTGATTTATGCCATAAAACCTGGTAATTTTCAGGAATCGCTTTAATTATCAATAACCCCACTGGCGTTTCTGATGTTGCAACTTGCTAGAAAGTGCTGGTCTGAGCGTGCAGTTGGGTCTCCGTACCTGCCGCTTCACCCAACCCAACAGCAGGTGGCACTGTCTGAGAAAACGACAGGTCTGGAAGTGCAGCACTTTGCGCTTGTCTGAGCGTGCAGTTGGGTCTCCGGGCCTGTGAAGAGGCACAGGTGAAGATACTACAGGACTCCGATTCAGAACCGGTCTAGCAGCCGGGCGGAGGAAACCAGCAGCAAGAGACTCACAGGTGGAGCAAAACAAGACAAAAATACATAACAAGACAACACAAAACAGACGGAGAGATAAATTAAAGCAAACTACACAAAAATAAATGAAACAAAAAAGAACAAATACTACCAAACGAAAATACGAAAATAGCACGTATATAAAATAGCACGTCAAAAAAAATAAATAAATAAATAAAAATAAAATTACAATAAAACCAAATAAGTAAGATAAACAAGAGACAAGAAACATTCAACCAGGCTGGGCAGAACCCTTACGGGCACAGCAATAGCTATCACTCTTTTTTATTTACTTTCTTCATATAACATTTATAATTGTATTTTTGCGTTTTATTGACTAAGTTAATTGAATGCAAACACTTTTTATTTTACTTCATATGAACAGTGACCACGTTTTTTTAAACAACAACAAAAAATAATAATAAAATAAATAATAATAATAATATTTATAATGGCTGAAAAACATGAGCTGACACAGCTATGCAAATTAAAAGTCATTAATCTTTTATAATTGAGTATTGAGTAATTTAAAATTTAGTAAAATGTAAGTTGTGTAAATAGCCTATAGGCTATTATACTTACAAAAAAAAGCTAAAATACAGGAAAAATGAACGTAAACACATAGACATTGTCACATCCACTCGACTGTTTACATTTCTTAGTTAGTTTGTGAGCGTTTATATGGGAACTGAGTCTGGCCTTGTTATGTCTTTGAAAGGTAAAAAAAAAAAATCCACTCGACTGTTTCAGTCGTAACCAATAGGCGCTCAGTTGTGGCTCATCATTGTGATGGTATCTATCTATCTATCTATCTATCTATCTATCTATCTATCTATCTATCTATCTATCTATCTGTCTTCTATCTGTCTGTCTGTCTGTCTGTCTGTCTGTCTGTCTGTCTGTCTGTCTGTCTGTCTGTCTGTCTGTCTGTTTAGGCTTTCTATGTAACATCCACCCATTCATTCCTCCATACATACATATATACATACAGTTGAATTTCACAATTATTAGCCCTCTGAATTATTCAGGCCCCCTGTTTAATTTTTTACCCAATTTCTGTTTAACAGATTTTTTTTCAACACATTTCTAAATGTAATAGTTTTAATAACTCATTTCTAATAACTTTATGCCAAGATGACAGTAAATGAAAGCTTTAGCTATAGTTCTACCAGGAAGACTGAAATGTCATGTCATTCATAATAATTATTGTGTCTGCCTATAACAACCAAAGCAAGCCATGTATATAAGCTCATCTAAACAATCTGTTTCGCTGTTTAGCCTTTTATGCTGGATACCAGAATGATCATGCGATTTTACTGAAAACAGCCTGGTTAAACACTGTCAATCTTATTTATTGGGATTTCATGCCATCTTCATTAGCCATTCCATCTCAGTGATCTTATACTCTGTGTTTATTCATTACGTGTATACATAGTCTGCATGAGTTAAGTCTAACTCTTGTTTTATTAACGTTATATGTAGTCACTGAATCATGATATGCAAGTTAATGTCTGAAAGAGCACATATCTAACGTTATGGCCTTAAATCATTTAGTTCTAAATGTTTTTCTAGCTGGAATCAACATTATATAAACAAGTCTTATGCTATATCATAAAGCTAGAGCCGCGATGCAGACACAGACAATTTGGTATCGATTCAAGCTCTCAATCTCTTCGGCCCGTCTGGGCACGCTCTCAATCTCTTCGGACGGTCAGGGCACACTCTCAATCTCTTCAGCCCGTCGGGGCACGCTCTCTCTCCTCTGCCCGTCGGGGCACTCTCTCTCTCCTCTGCCCGTCGGGGCACGCTCTCTCTCCTCTGCCCGTCGGGGCACTCTCTCTCTCCTCTGCCCGTCGGGGCACTCTCTCTCTCCTCTGCCCGTCGGGGCGCTCTCTCTCTCCTCTGCCCGTTGGGGCACAATCTCTCTCCTCTGCCCATTGGGGCACGCTCTCTCTCCTCTGCCCGTTGGGGTAAGCTCTCTCTCTTCTGCCCGTTGGGGCACTCTCTCTCTCCTCTGCCCGTCGGGGCACTCTCTCTCTCCTCTGCCCGTCGGGGCACTCTCTCTCTCTTCTGCCCATCGGGGCACGCTCTCTCTCCTCTGCCCGTCGGGGCACTCTCTCTCTCCTCTGCCCGTCGGGGCACGCTCTCTCTCTTCTGCCCATCGGGGCACGCTCTCTCTCCTCTGCCTGTCGGGGCACGCTCTCTCTCCTCTGCCCGTCGGGGCACTCTCTCTCTCCTCTGCCCGTCGGGGCACGCTCTCTCTCCTCTGCCTGTCGGGGCACGCTCTCTCTCCTCTGCCCGTCGGGGCACTCTCTCTCTCTTCTGCCCATCGGGGCACGCTCTCTCTCCTCTGCCTGTCGGGGCACGCTCTCTCTCCTCTGCCTGTCGGGGCACACTCTCTCTCTTCTGCCCGTCGGGGCACACTCTCTCTCCTCTGCCCGTCGGGGCACGCTCTCTCTCCTCTGCCTGTCGGGGCACGCTCTCTCTCTTCTGCCCGTCGGGGCACACTCTCTCTCCTCTGCTCGTCGGGGCACGCTCTCTCACCTCTGCCTGTCGGGGCACGCTCTCTCTCCTCTGCCCGTCGGGGCACGCTCTCTCTCTTCTGCCCGTCGGGGCACGCTCTCTCACCTCTGCTCGTCAGGGCACTCTCTCTTTCTCTCTCTCCTCTC